CACTGCATGCATTTGCTTCTGTTCCTTGGCGATCCCTGCGACTTCCACTCTGGTCTTTTCGCACTCCTGCATAAGCCCCTTCTTGATGTCTTCAAGCGCTCCGAGGGTGCGTTTTTCGCTGGCGGCAACAGCGTTCTGGACCGCAATCCCGATGTCTTCCCTCTGTGCCTTGCCCATGTCCTGGGTCTGCGCAGAGAAGAGCGCTTTGATGTCGTCGATCGTGAGACCTTCCACTCTCTTCTGGGGGGAGCCGATCTGTTCAACATCGACTGCCTCTCGCTTGCGCGGCGGCGCATCGAGGTCCATCACGTCAGCCTTCCTCGCCATACACCCTCCACCTTCCGGATGATCGTGTAGCCCGAACCGAGCTCGCGAAACTTAAGGTCGGAGAGCGCCCGAAGCGCCGATGCCCTGCACAAAGAGCAAGAGGTGCGTGTCACCCACGATGACGTGCCCCAGCCGCGCCGCTCAGCGCATGGCTCAAAACCCTAGGGTTTAGGGAGGGCTTCCCCCGAAGGGGGGGTTAGGGTCAAGGGATTAGGGTTTTGGGTTTAGGGTTTTGTGTTTAGCGTTTAGGGTTTAGGGTTTAGTGTTTGGGTTTTGGGTTTAGAATATATCACATGGGGATTGAAGGGATTATGGGGATAATGAGAAAGAAAATGAAAACTACTATACTGGGGTCATAATATAGGGGTTATCTTCAAAAAAAACTTGCAAGTACAAACATGCCTTCTCCTCGCTGGAGACACGGCTCCTCGTCCCCACTGCCTCCTGAAACGGTCTCAAACCCAGGTTTGGCAGATTTGAAGGTTATATAGGGATAATGGAAAAGAAAATGGAAAATACTATAGTATATTGGGGTTATAAAGGGATAAGGGAAAAGAAAACTTGAAGCTACTACAATGAGGTTCTCAAGTACACCCAAGGCATCACCTCCCTGGAACAAGCTGCGCAGAACGTGGCTTTCTTCCGGGGCTAAAGCCTAAGGACAGAGCATAGCCTAATCCCCTCAACCCCTAAACCCTGAACCCCTAAACCCCTAAACCCCTAGACCCTAAACCCCTGAAGGGTAGTCCCCTCACAAGCATGCAGTTTATCCGCGCATGAGGATCGGCTCCCATCTTCCGTGAAGAAGATGTGAATAGCGAAGTATTCTTGTAGAACATTAGAACCAAACGACACCCAAACTCAAGCCAAAGCAAAGACGATACATGGAGATAACTTCGGGCCTGAGTTTCTCTCACCGATGCAGCATGCGGAAGTTCTAATCCAAACACAGAGTCTGCGGAAGGAGTTTTAGGGGTTCCCCCGGATGCTCCGTTGAGTCGTGGTTGCCAGAGATCCGTGGACTATGCACCGAGATACTGTTGGTAGAAGCAAGCATGAGCTAATACAACCCTAATATAACCCCTGTATAAACCATAATATAACCCCCTATATTATAAGCCCAATATAACCCTAAATATACCCCCTACACACAAGCATCTGCTTGACAATCCAGAGGTAACCATGCTGAGACTGCCTTCGTCTGCAGGGGGCTCGTCAATGTCATTAGCAAATTCGGCGATGCACTACCTGTTCGGGCCAAGACATGCGAAAAGTACGCCAACTCCAATGCCCCAGAACTGGTCCAATATGGGGGGCAGATCCGTCACTTGACTCACATAAGGAGTTGTAGAACGTCCCCTGCCACAGCCCTCTGCGGCCAAAACGAAGACCTTGATTGAAATACAAAAGAAAAAGGTACCAAGTATGCGATGAATACACCTTGACAACAAAGCTCAGCTGCAATGAAGCCTGGCTGCCCGTTGCTGCAATGCACATGCAAGCGCTACGCATGTTCAATTTCATTCAAACAAATTCAAAAGATGCCCCGCACGAGGGCTCGATCCTCACCTAGAAACTGATAAGACTCCAAAGTCTACATGCCCCAACAAAAACGCGTATCATATAGGAAAAATAATCCACTTCTCAGACCTTTTATGATGTTCAAGAGCCCCCTCTCTTCTCACAGTACCGCGTGCAATGATCATCTACTGCGGTTATCAAAATTCCGTGAGAACGTTTCAAGCATAAGTTACTATATTGGGGAAACCATATGTAATTACTATATATACCCATTATGGTAACTTAACTTAAGTTCAACGGGTATATATATATATAGTAATTAATTTTGTTTCCCCAAAATAAGAATTCAAAACCAACCCACCGCCAACTTCGAGCCTGAATCCGCGGAATTTTTCCGGGGCTTAGCTGCTGGTGAAGTTCTACGGCCTCAGCGGGTTAGGGTTTAGGGTTTAGGGAGCTATGGTTGATATGGTAATTTCCCAAAATGAGGAGGGACCCTCATCTAAACCCCCAAACACCATACCGTACCCCTTATAATTATTCGGACCCCCAAAATTAAAATGGTACCCCTGATTTTGGGAACCCTCCATATGCTTCACAAAACTCGGTCTCGATACTTGAGCCTTCTCAAACTCAGACGTCCTACCAGTACCACATGTTGATCGCTAACATTGACCAAACTGGGTTGCTCTATTAAGCTACCATAATGGGTACACATAGTAATTCATATGGTTTCCCCGATATAATAACTTAAACTAAGTTCCTTAACCGCAACCCAACAAATATGATAAGGTGTTGCTGAGGATGCACAGAATTGCAAGCAAGTTTGCGCACAAGATCCACTCCTAGCTGCAAGCTTTTCTACGACAGCGTGTGAAAAGGTGCAAGATTCCCACATGGCCATATAACCGCAATCTGAGGCTCAACCGGCAGATGGTCCCAGAATCTGCGAAACCTGAACACTGCTCCAAACAGAACAGCTTCCCCATCAATAAGATGGATGCACATCGTAGTCAAGAGATGGATTCAGCGGAAAGTAAAAACAACGCGACGTCGCGGTTGCAATTCTTCTTCACCTTGAACATGTGAGCAGGTGCCTTGTAAACCATACTCGCCGATGACGCCTGTTCCAGATTTCAAGCTTTTGCGAACGTACATTGACGTACATGTTGATTGTCAAAGCAAGTGGGCCAAGCCTCAGATTCGTTCTGCGCTCATGTCGCAGACCATCAGCTTTAGGATAAATTCGGCATTCGGGCAATACTTAAGAGCTTCAAAAAGGAGCCGTGGACACTCTTCCGCACTTGCAGCGTAACAAATAACCTTCCACAGAACAATGTACTGATTGTATTGACTATAAAAAATGCGTGTCATGAGGTCGGGTTCCCTTTTAAGTGCCTTTGTGGCTAGTGAAAACAAAAATGTCCAGTGCCCCGGGAAACAACGCCAAGTATCATGTGTTCGACAAACATCGATTCTGCGGCATGTTGGCACTTGCACCTCTACCAGGAAACAAAAGCCGTCCAGGTTGTTCTTGAACCAACTTGAGCTTTACGTGCACGACATGCATGAGAACACTGACTGCTGGTTGTGAATGTGTAATCTGTTACCGCAAGGGAAACAAGAAGACACCGCATGTTCACAAGCCCAGACAGCAAGTCGCGTTTATCACCTAACTTGTTGAGAGTACATGTGCAATACCAAGTCTGTAAACCACGGCTGCGGTAATCAGTTTTCTGGATCCACAAAAAAGGTTCAGGATTGGACTTCCTGGCACACACCGCCAACCCTGAAATGGCCCTTGGCTCATTTTCTGAACCGCGGGCTGCAAAAAGACAATGCTTGCATGATCTCGAAACACGTTTGGCTGCACAGACGCGGCTGGGCCTGCTTCCTCCTCATAGGCTAAGGCTTGCAAGCATCATTACAGTTGCGGTTCAGATCTTTGCAACACCACCTTTCTCAAGGAGGCGGCTTCTCTCCTCATCCACTCATCTCCACTCCTACACTCCTCTGCCTATCTGGCCTCTCCCTACTACTCTCCATTCCTCCACTCTGCTCCACTCCTCTCTTCTCGTATCCTCTCCTGTCCTCTACTCCACTCCTCTCCACTGCACTCGGCTCCACCCCTCTCTCTCCTCTGTCTCCTCGCTCTGCACTCTCTCCTCTCTCTCGACACTCCTGCCAATGACATTTTGAAAAGTGGGCAAATTTCCGGTGTTTCGCTAATGTTTCCAGCACTTGTGGGCCTCCTATGCTACGATACTACACCAAGTCAACCTCTCAACCAATTTGAAATGTTACTTCTAAAAGGCGATAAAGGTAGATGTGGGTCAAAACATGGTCAGCCTGCGCCAAGGGCCTTTCTGATATTTAGCCAGCATAGAGTCCCAATGGTGCCACAGGAAACCCCCACAATCCCTTAGAGCCCGGCACTTAATTATTGGACAACCATGCCTTCACAACGCCCAACATGACAAACATTGACAGCTCAAGTAAAGTGCAACATAGTCCAGCAAGACTGCTTGCTAGGTTGCCAGCCCGCTTTGAACCACCCCCCTCGCTTCCAACATGATGTTATTACAGGTTCCCGACTTACCACCTTGGTACCTGTTGAAACGGCTACGTGTCTTGCAGACCAGAACAATCTCATACAGAGCCAGGCAATCTTTCAGAGAATCGCGAAACCTCCTATGGGACAAAAGACCTGAATGGAATCTAAAAGGACCCTTGAACAATAGCTTGTCAAAACACTTTGGGTTGCCTGGACGGATCTCTCGTGTTTGATCCGTTTCGTTCGAGGCGTGCTATATCAGAATGTCTGCTCAAATCAAAATGTTCTGGATGAATGCACGTGCACCTGCACTCTGCTCTTTTTCAGGCATGCAGGCTTCCGCTGCCAACGTTGAAAAATGCGGCTGCTGGATATGGCATGTGATGGCATCTCTGACCGCAGCACCAGTTCCGCTTGCGAGATTACTAAAATAGGGGCGAGGCAAGAGTTGGCAAAGGCGCTTTAAGAGCGCAGCCTCATAACACATGTCGCCCGAGGGTGGACTTGCAAGATGTTGCAGGAGTCGCAGGATGCACTTTACGGCAGCATGCATGGTTCAAAAGTTGCTAAGTCCTGAATTCTGAACATTCTGAATCTATCACTTGTTTTTATTGATGTATGGAGCCATGCCGACCTCGAAGAGCACGAGAAAGACAAGGCAGCACAAGAGCTGCACGCCGGCATTGAAGTCTTGACCCCACTGTCCTCCAGCCTCAATGATGCTGCGTGCTCCCACGGCACCCAAACCCAGGAAAGCATTGATTAGCATGTCCATGATCAACGCGATGGAGCTTGCTTCAAAAATTGAGTCTGAGCCTCCGTGTGGCACAAATCGCATCATCAAGCCCTGCGTGAGTCCTTCACTCAGGTAGATGGATGGAAAGATGATCATATCACCGAGGACTAGCGAGTAGCCGCCAGGAAGCAGTCTGCCTGCTGCACGGAGAAGCAACAGCGTGCCGAGTGCTGCTGAGATCGTGAGCAAGCGGATCCAGGCCACCTCACCTGCATAATAACCTCCCAAACAACTTTGTACGAAACGGATGGGAAGACCCATCAGAAAGGCAACGCCTGTGATTAGACCTGTGGAGGCGATGCTCCACCCAAACCGGTCTTCCAGCAGCAGCGGCGTCCCCACCTCGACAGATCCTGCCACAAAGCTCCGCAAGGCACACAAAATCAATCCCGTCAAAATCACCATCTTCCGAAAGCAAGGCATAGGACGACGAGCGCCACTCCCTTCCACCTCCGCCACGATCTTCACATCTTCGTTGCTGATCTTTGCTGGGTAGAAGAGAATAACCATGCACAAGCCAGAGGAGAGCAGAATCAGCTGAATGAGACCCACGGTCTTAAACTGAGGCACGTTGGGAGTGGTGCACAGGTTTAAGGAGTAGCCGGCTGCAGCAGCCAGGGGGCCCAAGCCCGTGCCAACCGTGACGTAGAAGACGGCACGCTGAAACTCCTGAGGCAGCTCCGAAGGAGGAGTGAGCTTCGACAAAAGGACGATGACGAGCTGAGTCACCATACCATTCCCCACTCCGATGATAGCCCTCGATGCACAGAGCAAGGTTGCCAGCTTCGAAGAATCTTCATTTCCAACCTGCGAGAGTGTCACCAAGCAAAGGGCTGATCCCGCCGACATGACGGCAAGGCCACACATCATGGCCTGGCGACTGCTGTTTTGCCAGAAGTCTGGCCAAAAGTGGAGTGGAAAAGCACATATAAGATTCCCGATCATATCGCCCCACTTGGAAATACCGAGGTAGAGGCCCGACCAGGAAGCTCCCTGCTTAAGAGCAAGAGAGAGGGCATGCGAATCCGGAACACTGATCATGCGAGAGGTTGCAGCCAGCACGGTAATCACCATGAATAGATCCACCACGCATCGGCCAGAGGACACGGATCTCGAATGCACACCAAACAAGGCAGCTATGATAGAGGTAACACAGCCTATGGCCAAAGCGGGCAACAGCCCAACCCTGAAGGGGCAAGCACCAACCTGATCACTGAGCGTGGTCACGGTCGCCACCTGCAACTGCAAGAAAGACGTTTTGGCTTCAATATCCTCGTCCTCTCGCTGTAGCTTCCGGATCAAGTCCTCAGCACTTTCAGCAACTTCGACCAGTTCGGCCCAGCGCCCTTCTTTTAGAAACTTTGAGGCTGCCATCGTTTCCACGAACTTGAGAAGGGGTGTCCAAAAGCTGTTTGTGTTCAGAAGGAACACCGGCTTCCTATGTGTGCCGAGATGGGAAAGGACAACGGCATCAGCCAACTCGTCCAAAGTTCCCAAACCGCCCGGCAGTGCCACAAGAAAGTTCGCCAAGTCGACCATCGTTTGCTTGCGCTCATGCATGGTCTTGGTAAAAATCATCTGTGAGAGGTTTTTGTGCTCATGCTCTGCAGTCAACAAGTTCCCAGCAGGACGAACACCGATCACGTAGCCGCCTTCTGCAAGCACGGCATCGGCCACCACGCCCATCAAACCCGCATTGCCCCCGCCATAAACCAAACCCACTCCACTCCGGGCTAGGAGACGCCCAAAGTTCTTGGCCTCCTCCTCAAACTTCGACGAACCACCAAAACTGGCTCCCATGTAGACCGTGCACCACTTTCGCACCAAAGGGAAAGAGGTCCGCTCCTCAGGCTCCTGAGGAACAAAAAGTTGCAAAGCAAAACTTCTAACTGGGGATACTATGGTACCCCAATAATGGAGAATCAAATGGAAAAGAAAATGGAAAATTAAATGGAAACTGGGATTATATAGGGGTTATATTATATTATATTCTTGGGACTCAACCAACTTCCAAATTGCTGCAGCCGAACCCTCCTGGAAAACAGGATGCTACCCCTGCCCTCTGCTCCAACCAATCCAGCAACAAGAGGTGCCCACGATACTGAATATTCTAAAACATCCGCCGGGCATAACATTCTGGGCTGTACGAGGGTGCTATGAATGTTTGTATGGTGTTCAACGAATTACGGTCCTTTTTGGAAAGTCTTGTGATTTCTTTCAACGACGACCCTGCAATGCTCATGATGCTTCTCTCGTTGTGCCGGGTTCTTTCCGCACGTGTTCGTGTTTGAAGCAGAGGACGCTGATTTGTGCTGACGCGCGAGCAACTGGGTTTGGAGTTGAAAAAAGCCTTAGGTCTTCAAAAGCACCGATTCCAGCCCCTGGGATAAAACATGCTTAAACATCTAACACACACATGTACCAATACATCACAAACGAAACACATACTGACACATACATTACGTAGGAACCAGACTCCCTGAAAGAATTCACAACTTCATACAACTTCCCTTCTCAGCTGTCCTCCTGCCGGGAGCGCCGCAATTCATTCCGTAGCGCTTCGCAGGACAAATTCTGGCCTTGTAGGAGACCTAGAGGTATGGCATCCAGCCAGGCCAGTGCCGTGTCCGCTGACGGAGCGTTGGCTTGTGAATCCGCAAGCTCTGGGAAAGTAAACGGGGCCGAGGGCACCAATCCATGCCCTTCTTGCTTGCACTCCGATCCCCGGCACGGTACACAGGACACCCTGGCTGGCAGCGCCGAAGGTGATGACAATGCGAAGCCTGAAGGGTGTGGCAATGATTGCCAGGAGTGTGCATCCATGTATTGGAGAAATGCTACCAAGAACTGGAAACGATTTCCTCCAAGTTGTAGAATTCTTTTGCCGGTGGTCAGTGCTGCACGCAGAAAAGCCATGATGTCGAAGGCATGGGGGGCAGAATGTCGTGCATGTCCCGCATCTTGGACCAAGAAGTGGTGGAGATCATCCACCTATTCATGGTACTGCAAGGCCAAAGGCAAACTGAAAAGCACCTACCCTAAACCTACCCGACCTCCCTAAACCGGTCACTTTTGTGGTTTTGTTTCGGCCTGTCCGGTGGCCAGTGCCCCAAGGCCCAAGGGCTCTCGGGTGGAGATCGCGTGCGGATACCTGAGCATATCGATGCCGTGGCCTTCCTTCAACGGATAGCCCACATATCCCATGGGACCCATCGTCACATTCAAATGCCGCAAAGAGTTCACAGCCAAGATCGTGGCATCTGGGAACTGCGCTTTCAAAGATTCCATCGCCAGCCCTAGAAACTGGCGGCCTGAAAGTGTGCCGTCTGAAACTGCACCTTCTTCGCTGACTTCATGGTTCCAAACTCCTGGACCAGCTTGGGAGACCATGAAATCTTTATTGTGGTATCCTCGTCTAACACTGAAAATCTGAAACGTTTCTCAAAGGTCCCAGATTCCAACCAGCAGGATGATACCTGGCTGCGGCAAGCCCACTCTGGCGTTCCATGTTCCATAAGCTTGGAACAGGTTCCAACCTTCTTCGACAGTGACACCCCGATCTTGCAGATATCTAATATTGCGACGTGCCTGGCGTTCATATGCTGACAAGTTTGGCGAATCATCCGCGTCTAGATGAGAGCCTCGCATAAATCGGATATCTGTAGCTACGAGGTGAGCAAGGAATTCTTGCTGATTCGCAGCAGTGGCTTGGAACACGCACGGCAGCAGAAAGAGGATCCACATCATGTATCTCTACGACTGTACAAGGTTGATTGTACGTCTCAGGGCAGCAAAGCTGAGTTGTCTCTGCACCTATAGGACTATGTCTTGTGAAGTTGAGAAATGATGAGAAGTGCATCAAAATGCGTTGCAAAATTAGAGGCTTCAGCACCCAAAACGGAACAGCAAAGCTCCCGTAGACCTTGAGCCAAAACTAGCCGACGGCAAACACGGTCCTCGCTCAAACATCGATGCATTAGCGGCTGGTAACGCAGGTCGTGATCCGGGGATATTTTGGACACACAGAAGGACAAGGAGTTTTTAATGCTGGTCTAGCTCCCCAGGTCGTTGCGATGATGTCTAGAGAATTCGTTGAACGCTGTTGCAGCTCCTGCAAGATGAAAAGGTGCAAACAAACTCGTGCAACTACAATGGCTTGTGTGGTGCCCAACTGCCTAACCAGAATAGTGAAGCCTGAGTTCTTGGGAACGCAGCGCACGCAACTTGGGGCAGCAAGTGCGTGGCAGCGCCGAGTTGCCACCAAAAAATGGAGGCTTTAATTTGAAGGAAAGTCGGATCTCTGCGTTGCTGGGCACCTGATGGGCCAAAGCCAGGTTTGGGCCTGCGGGTGGAAGATTACATGGTACAAGTGCTCAAAAGCCATCGCCAAACCTTGCGCAGGTCTGCAGGTTTGAGGCTTCAGCCAACGCAACGCCGCAACGCAATGTAACTCAGAGTGGTGAAGCCGTAAAGCCTTCGCTGGCCTTCTGTGTCGGCCATCTCGCGCAGAAGACTTCGGCGCTCAGGTTCCTTACCTTTTCTTGACTGGCCTTCCTAAATATGAAAGTAGTCACGGGACAGCTGGTAATTCGTAACGCCTCAAAGGTTTGAGAAGCCAACTTCTGTCAAAACAGTTTTTGCGAAATCAACAATTTCCAAAAAGATCCAAAAAGATTAAAACAGAGCACACGCAGCCAATAAGCATGTGTCTCACACCGTCTCACAACATATGCGTCTTTGCATCACCTTTGCTCCTCCTTTGCGGCTGCTTTTGGCGCTGGCCGCAAAGAGTTCGCCAGACGTTCCGCCAAACGGCTTCCCAAAAAATCCAAAACCGTTAAAATCATTATGGCGAGATTCTGCTCTTAGACAATGACCTCATGCATTTCACTTCTACGAACTTTTTCTCTCCAGACATGCTGTGGAATTTTGATCATGCACCTCGTCTTAGCTTTGTGTTTTCTTGCTCGGTCTTCGTCAGCTCCGTGCCGCGGCGCGGCTTGCGATGTACTGGGCAAAATCGTATCCCCGGGAGTCGTCCTCGCCGCCAAGAAGTCTTTAAGTGCTGAGAACTCCTCGTGTAGAAAGGCTTGTGTGCTGATTTTAAACAAGGTTGGACCCTCCAACGTGCCCTTTTTGGGCAGTTTCTTAGCTTCTTCGCCTTCTGGAACTGCGGTAGCCGACCAAAAAGTAGCTCCCAAGTCCGCGAAATGACAGGCAGCAGCCCAAAACATGCTTAGACTTCTTACCGCTGTACAACAGCACCGGGCCGCATGAGGCCGCACCCTGAAGAGTGTCCTGTCGGCGACCGCGTAGACGACCTCCAACACAGAATCACCTGAAAAGAATGCACACCTTTTCCCAACAACAACAGTAGTCCGGAAAATACTTCAGTCAAGGGCTCCCAGAAGATCCCCTCAGATCACATCTTTTAGAAAAGAGGCCTATTCCGCCTGCAGATGGAATTACCGGTGTGAACTTCCAGACCTCAGCAAGAAGCTATAAGAGGAAGGGATGAGAAGGCAACTCCACGAAGGAGTCTCGGAACCTGTTGAAAAATCTTCATCTTCGGGTGGATTCCTGTATGGGCGATTCAGGCATGTTAAAACCCGACCCGCAAAGATATGATTGTCCTCCTCTTCCGAGGCTTCAGCTGAACCTCGTCCTCCAAAATGCGCTTACGGGCCGCCCGAAAGCACAAAACAACCAAGCGTATATCACAAGCTTCCGAAAATGCGACTGGGTGAGCGAGACCACACCACAACGACGAGAGTCCGAGATTAAACAGTCAAATGCACGCGCAAGGCCATTCAACGATTTGGCTCACGCATGGCCCTGCCACGTACAGCCTGAAATTCCAAGAGAAGCCCCAGAACGTCACACGGAAATGCATTTTCAAGGCCTCTCCAAATGCATTTCGGCGACCAAGACCACCGCTAGAGCCCAAAACCAGTTGCGTTTCCAAAGCTTCCCAAAATGCATTTTGGGCATCCCGAGATCACACAAAAAACTTGAAGAGAAGCCCAAGAGCTGAAATCAGCCAAGTGCATTTCCACGGCTGCCAAAAATGCATTTTGCCCTGATTGACAATAATAGGGCTCGACTATACAATTCCTGCAGACACTCCTTTCTCACTCTTCTTCTGGGCACTTCGGTGTCTGGTCGTGAGCCTATACATTCCACATGCAAATGCTTCCTGCACATGCAACTGCGTTGCTCTGCTGTTACACTTCCATGGCAGAAATGTTGAAGAAAACCGCCTTAGAAGTTCGTGAAAGACAATCTTTATCCTGAAATGACGTCTACATTTTCCTGAGTGCTGATGCGGGAAGTATGACTCCATCACTGAAAACTTTCAGCCTCGAGAAACACACCCCATGCATACATGTAATGGACATGGCTGTACACAATGTCCCACATGAAAACTCTAAAGGAAAACACTCACAAAGTTCTCCAAGATGGCCCCCTCAATGAACAGAAGACATCGTCACCCCGCCAATGAATGGCAACATGACAGTTTCCATGCTTTCCACGATGAAAACTCTACAAGTGGGACAGCAGGCCCTTGCAAGTCAATCAACCAAGTAGAAGGTGATCTACATACAAGGCTTGTAGGCTAACAGTCTTGGCCTAGGAGCAGTAGTGGCAGCTGGTGAGCACGAGATTCACAACACACCACAAAACACAAGAGAGAAGAGAAAACTCTTATTTTCACTTTAATGCAAAGAACGGGAGAATATTTCCAATCACTCAACTCAGATATACAAATATCAATAATTTGAGCGAACACAGAGTTGCAACACGCACTTTTCACGCTGTGGGGAATCACGATGTCAGGATGCCACCGCCTTACAACGGTCGGGTGAGGCATTCTGAAGTTTACAAAGATAGCTGATACGCACGTGAAACACCTGTGGCCCACACGGGCCGCATCTACATGGATGCTGTTGCACACGCAACCAGGGATGGGAGGGTGGGAACAAATTTTTGGTCACCTGAACCAAAAGACCTTGCACGCAAACACATGTTCACAGAGCATGCAAAAACATGTGTCCCAAAATTCCCAAAACACAACTCCCTGTTTTGTTTTGCATTCCAAAACAAAACTCTTTGCATGTGAAAATAAAACTTGATCCACCTCTGGTGGAGGAACGTCTTATTTTCACTTTAATGCAAAGAACGGGAGAATATTTCCAATCACTCAACTCAGATATACAAATATCCAAAATTTGAGCGAACACAGAGTTGCAACACGCACTTTTCACGCTGTGGGGAATCACGATGTCAGGATGCCACCGCCTTACCCCCAGCTAAAGGGCATCAAGACGGAGGGCCTCGCGTAACAACCTAGGCACCATGCCCAGCGGCACCTCGGACCTCTCCCTGAATGCACCTGCAGGCTCACAACCTCTGGACGGCGCATCCGAGGGGTTACTGGACGATGGGACTCGCTCCAGCCACAGGAAGGATTGCAACTTCTCCTCTCTGCAACATATCAACCGAGCAAGCCCGTTCCCGATCCTGTTCTCCGACCAGCACCTGATCAGCGTTCCCTGAACGCCTTGATTGTCTGTAAAAAGAACCACATTCTTGTGAGCCAAGTAGGATCCAAAGACCTCCAAGGCCACTGCTACCGCGATGCACTCAAGCTCGTATATCGCAGTGCTGCGTCCAGCTTCACCGGATTCAAGAATGAGCTTCACGGAGTCAGGGTCGACCTCGCACCCAAACCATGCCGCTGCCTCTCCAGTGCTGGAATAGAGGCAACCCCCTATTCCACTAAAGCCTTCATTTGGTTCAAAAGAAGCATCCACGAAGCAATGAAAAACATCTCCCAAGGATCCCCTAACCTCGACCGGAGCCGCTTCAAGGAAAAAGTCTCTGAGGTGTTCACAGGCCTTCCTCGTGGCTGCACTGATCTCATGAGAAGCTTTGCTGGAGTGAAGCCCCAAAGTTTTCAGGCAGGACCTAGCCTTTCGCCCGAACAGTTGCCCGGAGGCGAATTGAAGCCGACCTTTTAGTCTTTCACAATCCTTCGGTCTGAGGGTTCCGGACTCAAGAACCTTATCAAGCGCGTCCAGCAGTTCCGACCGCCGGCTATACGTGTTTGTGAAAAAGACTTTCCCGAAGGAGGACTGCTTCAAGTCGATCAGAATCCCTAAGGCCTTGCAGCACGAGGAGTAATCAAGAAGTTTGTCCTTGGACACACGCCAGCCGAGAAGCTGGAAAAACATCGAGATGATCATGTCGGAGTGCCTGCAAAGAACCTGGCTCGAAAGATGCAAGAAATCGTCGAAGTACATGGTCCAAACCAAAGTGAGGTGCACTAAGGCGATAACCCACAAACCTAATGCGGCCCTAATGAACCCTGTCACACTTGCGACCGACCCGAAGGGCAAAACAAGCTGGCGATATATACGGGGCTCTTTTGCAGTTGGACTGAAAATAACAAAGTAGCTGTCCAGCTCAAGGGATGTGTCAGTGAGGGGGAGCTGCTTGTATGCTGATTTCAGATCCCAACATTTGGCCAGGATATCAGAACTGCACTTGCACTCCTGAGAGCACCTCAGCCAATAGGCAATCGTGCCAGCGACAACGTCCATGCTATGGATCGTGACCTGTTCTGTTTGGGTAACACAGGCATTGACTTGGGAGGCCTTGTAATCATCAATGGGACGGACTTTGGGCTTGCCGTTGGCTTCCCCTTGAATCACCCCAAACCGCCTGGTCAAGGTGGCATCTACAGG